GGGAGTAGGGTAGTATATAAATAAAATAAAATAAAATAATAAATAAATAAAATAATTGTATTTATAATTCCTGTAGAGAAGATTGGAATCAACATCTTCCCACTTCCCTACCCTTCCCTCCCTTCTCTTCCCCTCCCTTCCCTTCCCTGTCTTCCTTTCCTTTTCCTGTCTTCCCTTCCCTTTCCTCTTCCTTTCCCTTCCCTTCCCTTCCCCTCCCTCCCCTCCCCTCCACTTCCTTTCCCCTCCCTTTCCTGTCTTCCTTCCTGTCTTCCTTTCCTTTTCCTCTTCCCTTCCCTTCCCTTCCCTTCCCTTCCCCTTCCCTCCTTCCTTCCCCTTTTTTCACAAGGCCACCCTGCATGATAACCCCCCCCTTTTTTCTTTCTTTCTCAGCAGTGTTTAGAAGTGCCTTTATATACCTTAGAGAATTTATTTGGGCTCATACACCAATGGTGCATCATTTCCTTTAAATTTAAATTTCCTTTATATTGTAGACAAAGTGAATTCCAGCCTTTTCACCACAGTCTTTCCCCGTGTGTGACAGATGGTGCCTTCTTCTGAGTGAGCCCCGGTGTGATGGATGATAGTGAAGTGGCAGGTTCCCAAGGAGGGGAGCGAGACAAGAGGCAGCAAAGCCCGGAGATGAAGAAGAAGATAGTTAGGACAACCACTCAGAATAACTGAAGGGACAGAGTTGGAAGGGACCTTGAAGGTCTTCCAGTCCAACCCTTTGCTCAAGCAGGAAACCCTATACCATTCTAGACAAGCAGCTGTCCAGCCTCTTCTTAAAAGCCTCCAGTGATGGAGCACTGGAGGGGAGCTAGAGAAGACACAGCAGAGCCTGGAGATCAAGAGGTAGAGACTTAGGGTAGCCACCCTCTAGATTCCCTCAACCTTCCTGTCTTCTTCCCCTCCAACTGTTGCTTTTTAAAGACATGAATATGCAGAGAGGGCATGAAGGCAATCCAATTTTTCCTTCACTGCTTTCCAGGAGAAGCATCTTCTTTCTCCTGAATCCTCAGAAGTTTTTGTAGGGCCCCTTTGACCTCCTTGTTTCGGAGGCTGTAGATGAGGGGGTTCAGCATGGGGGTGATGATACAATACAGGGTGGAGACCAGGGTGTCCACCCCCAAGGAATATCCCACACTGGGACGGTTGTAATTCAAGTTGGCCATCCCAAAGTAGACGATGACCGTAATCAAGTGGGCAGCACAGGTGGAGAAGGTCTTTCTCCTTCCAGTGCTGGAACGGATCTTCAGAATTGTAGATAGGATGTAGACGTAGGAAATGACAACAAGGAGGAAAGGGCTCAGACCCACAAACACACTTGCTGTATGAAGAGCCATCTCATTGACATAAGTATCACTGCAAGCAATTTTCAAGAGTGGGGGGACATCACAGAAGATGTGATGGATCTGGTTGGCTCCACAGAAGACCAAATCAGTGGCCAGGGCAGTGTGAATGGCTGAGTCGAGAAGGCCCCAGATCCATGAAGCTGTAGCCAGAGGGACTTGCACCTCCTTACTCATGAGTTGAGAATAGTGCAAAGGTTCGCAGATGGCCGCATAGCGATCATAGGCCATCACAGCTAGCATCACGCACTCAGATCCAGCACATGTCATGAGGAAGAACATCTGGGCCATGCAGTCATTGTAGGAGATGGTGGGCTGTTGGCGCAGGAGGTTCACGAGGATCTTTGGGACTGTGACCGAGGAATAGCAAATGTCTAAGCAGGACAGATGGCTGAGGAAATAGTACATGGGACTGTGGAGGCGTGAATCCAGCTGGATCAAGATGAATATCATTGAGTTGGCCACCAAGGTGATGAGGTAGATGGCCAGAAACAGCAGAAAGAAGAAAGGTTGACCTCTGGGCATGCCAGAGAAACCCAGGAACAGGAATTGGGTCACCTGTAGGGTCTGATTTCCACCGTCCATGATGCCCATCAAGGTGTGGAGGACAACGTTGGAACACAGCAGAATTTAGGAGCAGCCGCTGGTATCAAATCACAGAATGAAGAAGAAGCTTCAGAAGCATGAGTTAATCACTGGACTTCCCCAAGGCCATCTGGAACAATTAAACGATACTTTGCGTGAATAAAATAACCATCAGCTAGGAGAAATGATTCTGGGGAAGTTTATGGGTTCCTTTCAGTCAGGTGGACGTTTATTACAGATGTGTTCCTCTGGTTAACTTTCCCAAAAAGCCATTTGGCACACATGTTATGTGTGACTTAGCATTCTCCAATTTGCACCCCTGTGTAAAGATGCAGAATGAGGATTGTTGGACACAGCTGGAAATGAACAACAGAATTCCTTCCATGGGCTGTGTTCCTCTAAGACCTTTCACCTGTTTTTGGGCTTTAAACAAAGAATTCATTCCATTTTTTTTAACTAAACAGAAGGGGTGGCATTAGGTAGTAAGCCACACAGGATTTACTAGGAGTGATACTAATGAAGTATTCACAAATAGATCAGATACTATGTTGGAGATTATTAGGAAGGGATCCTAATAGTTGTGCACATTTCCCTGCAGGCACAAAAGGAGATTTCTGGTCCTAGCATTTGGGAGAGTTTGAGCAAAGAATAAATATGTCAAGAACTATAAACTTTTGTAATTATGGAGCTATAAGCTGCCTCTGATCACTCACAAGCCTTTGTTTGTACAAGACACTTAAGGCAGGTTACCAGGTTAATTCCATTTCTTGGTATGCAAAGTGCCTGAAATCACCATCTCACCAATGGTCCACCCAGCAGCGCAAGGTCCAAAAATCACAAAGCCCATCACTGCATACAGAGGAGATGCAGCCACTCAGACTGCTAGGAACCCAAAAAAGGGGTAAGGATTCTTCCTCCCTCTCAAGGAAGACTCCGGGGGGAGGGGAGAGTCATCCATCCAATGTGACTGGGATGGAAATTGAAGGGGGGGCAGATAAGGCCATTTCAAGGAGGAGAAATATCTTGGTGGCCCCTGGAGAAGGTGGCTGGAGATGACCTTGAAGGGGGCAATCTCTCCTTAGCTATTGCTGGAGGTTTGGGAAGCTGTGCTTGTGGCTTCTCGGGGCCGTTGGGTGGTGAAGTTTGCAGAGAGATTTCTGCTGCAATGCAAACCATCAAAGCTACTCCCATTAGTGCCGATCCTCATTTTGAGAGAGTAATTTTGTGTCTGCGTGGGATGAGAAGAAGTGATTTGCTTATTCGATTAATTAATGAATTACCTCCTTCTGATCTTTGGACTGTCTCTTTTGAGCTTCTCTCCAGGTCCAGATATCTTTAGAGATACTCAACCATCCAGGCCAAAGGTGCTTTTCAAAAGGCAATTGGACTTTGTTAGTTTTTTCCCTTGAAAACATTTGGCATCTCATCCAAGAAGCTCATTCAGTTCTGAAGAAGAACCGAAGAAGCTTCTTGGATGAGAAGCGAAACATTTTCAAAGGAAAACAAAAACAACTAAGAAAGTCTGGTTGTCTTTTTGGGACATCCTGGTCCAGAAGTTCATCAGCTCATCCTCCCGACTCTCTCCTCACCTCCGAGGCTTGCCTATTGTACCATCAAGATCAAAACCTTTCCCAACTTCTTCTCAATGACTGTAGCTTGCTCAACAAAAACACCTTTTCTCTTTTTGAGGGGAGGGGGAGAGAAAGCTTTGCTCCACCAGGCGTGAAAAAGAGGTGAGCTTCTTCTCACCAACAACATGCAATTTATGCATCCTCCAGACAAGAGCTGGTATTGAGGTCCATCTGAAATGATTGGGGCCTGCATTAATCACCTCCCCCCACCCCTTTTCTCCAAGTTGATCTAAGATTTCTTTGCCCCTCGTGCCCCTCACCTGATCAGAGTCTCCTGGATGAAGGTAGAAGATATGTTTCTTCTTCTTCTTCCTCCTCTCCTTTTCCTCCTGCTTGAAAACTCCCCAGTAGACCTTTCTGTCTTGAGGAGGGTCTTCGTTTCTTGTTCTCAGACTCCTTTAGACTTTGGAGGTCCCATATCTCCAGGTCCTCTGCGTTCATCCTGTGTCGCACAGAGAGCCAATGATTGCAAAGAGAGAGAGAGAGAGAGAGAGAGAGAGAGAATTTTTATGGCACCTGACATGTCCCTGGAGATGACTTACATCACAAAGCAGAAGAACTTGCCCACGATCGAGGAATGGACTCTGAAGATGGCCAGTTTTGCAGAGATGGCGAAGATTTCAGCATATTTAAAAGACTGTTCACAAGAGATTTATGAATGGGAATGGAAAAAGTGGATAGATTATGTTCAGAACAAATATCAAACTAGGAAGTATCAAATAGTTTTTATTTGAAAATGATATCTCAAGATAGAAATATTTCAATGTAATGAAGATAAAAAATTATAAGGGGGAGGGAGGGGTTCAAGTTTTATATAAGTTTTATACTAAGGGTTTTTTTTAACCTGATATGAATATATTGTGTGGAAGTCCGGGGGGAGGGGAGGGTTAGGGAGGGTTAGGGAGGTTGGGAAGTTTGGGGTGGGTTGAGGGGGGGGGGAAAGGGGTGAAAATGTAATTGTAAAACTTTTGCAATAAAAAAAAAAGCATTGACAAGCTTCTCGCTTGAGAGATCCTTGCTGAAAACTTTGGGACAAATGGAAAAGGGCGTGAACTAGAGATCAGGACAACATTAACAATAACAGTAGCAGAGTTGGAAGGGACCTTGGAGGTCATCTAGTCCACTCTCCTGCTCACGTAGGAGACCTACAGTGTACTAGGGATTCGAACCCCCGAACTGCCGACCTTTCTGATCAACAAGCTCAGCATCTTAGCCACTGAACCACCTAGCCAGGCTCATGGAACCATGGAACAACATGGAAAAGTGTCCAGCGGGGTTTATGTATTTATTTGTTAAATTTATAAGCTGCCCGTCTCCTTGACTCTTCTAAACACTAAAAAGACAAATATAAAACAATTACTTTTTTAAAAAGCTATATAAAAAATGAGAACCAATGAAATGGACAGCATGCGGGTGAGATCTTCATCATATCCCATCAACCACCTCCATTGGTGAGTGCCCCTCCTTTGGGCTCCAAGCCCACCAGCAGAACCAGGTTTTGATAACCTCCTGGAGGACCAAAAGGATGGGAGCAGTACTCACCTCCAGTGGCAGAATGTTCCACAAGACAGGGGCCTCAGCAGAAAAGGCTATTCTCCTTCACTCCACTAGCCAGAATTCCTTTCAGGTGTGGCTTCAACCAAGAGTCTGGAGAAGGGATGATGTAGGAGATGGCCATGCAGAGGCCAAGGGTGGGGTCAAATGCACCATCAATTTGGAGTTGCTACGCTCGCATAAGAGATCAAAGCCCAGCCCTCCGTGAATTCCATTGACTCTTATCTGGTGCCTTGACCATTAACAGATCAGATTTTTGTAGATAAAGGTAAAGGTTTCTCATGCCCAGGTGTTTCCGACTCTAGAGGGCAGTGCTCATCTCTGTTTTTTAGCTGAGGGAGCCAGTATTGTCTGAAGATATTTTCATGGTCATGTGGCCAGCATAGCTATACACTAGAAGTGCATGGAATGCTGTTACTTTCCCACCAAAGTGGTACCTATTTATCTACTTGCATCTGCATGCTTTCGAACTGCTAAGTGGGCAGGAGTTGAGGCAAGGATACCATTTCTTATGCATAGGTGTTGTGACTCCGACCCCCGAGCCCGTCTTATCAGAGGGAGAAGACTCCGAAAGTAAAGGAGAGGAGTTGGCAAGGCCTCCCTCTCCAGGACCCTCCTCTCTGGCAATGCCTCAGGTGTCTCCCGAAGGACAAGAGATAGGCCAGGAGCCAGGCACTTCCGAGCAGCCGCAGTTAGACAGCGACGGAGATAAGCCTTGGCTGGATCCCCGCCAGCGTCGGAAAGACAAGCGCACGCAGCAGAGGAAGAGGTGTGCCAGAGATTAAGCTGAGTCACTGGACCACACCCCACAGGGGATAAAAGGGGGTTGGCCATTCAGGCTTTGTGACGGACAAAACTGAAAGCTAGCCAGTCATTCTGCATTTCTGGAACTTTGTTATATGCTCTGCTTGGATTGATTCTTGGACTGGACTTGACTATTCTTTGGCTTTTGTGGAATTACTTTGATGTTTCGGTCGGAGGAGATAAACCTCCCTTTGTAAGTAAAAACTTTTGGCAAGCAGCCGCTGGGTTGCTGCCAATTCTGTTATCAAAGGAAATTCTTGTCTCCTGCTTTATTTTAACTCTTGGTCGACTGCTGGTGTGCGTGTGTGAGACGGGGACAGAACAATAGGTAGCATGAAATAAACTTGTAGTACTTTTGAACTTTATTCCAGCTCCTGGTTTCTTGCTCTTGACAGGTGGAAGTGTGGCAATTGTCATCTGTAGGGCCCCTTTGACCGCCTTGTTTTGGAGGCTGTAGATTAGGGGGTTCAGCATGGGGGTGATGATACAATACACGGTCAAAATTAGGGTGTCCACCCCAGGGGTGAAATGCTCCCGGTTCGGACCAGATCACCCGATCCGGTAGCGACGGAGGCGGGTGGTTCAGAGAATCAGTAGCAAAAATCCCTGCCCCCCCATTGCCCAGCTGAGCCACGAGATCATCAGAGGCTTTTTTTTTAATTTTAAAAAGCATTTTCTCTACAACCTCTTTGGCCGAAAAAATGCTTTTAAAAATAAAAAAAAAAGCCTCTGATGATTGCGCGGCTCAGCTGGGATCGTCAGAGGCTTTTAAAAGCATTTTTTTCTATAACCTCTTCGGCCGAAGTGATTGTAGAAAAAAAAATGCCTTTAAAAGCCTCTGGCGATCCCAGCTGAGTTGCCTGATTGTCAGAGGATTTTACAAGCATTTTTTTTTTTTACAATCTCTTCGGCTGAAGAAGTTGTAGAAAAAATGGTTTTAAAAGTAAAAAAAAAAAAGTTGGCCACACCCACTCAGTCACATTACCTCCCCCCCGTCAAGCCACGCCCACAGAACCGGTAGTAACAAATTTTACATTTCACCACTGGTCCAACCCCAAGGAATATCGCACACTGGGACGGTTGTAATTCAAGTCGGCCATCCCAAAGTAGACAATGACCGTAATCAAGTGGGCAGCACAGGTGGAGAAGGTCTTTCTCCTTCCAGTGCTAGAACGGATCTCCAGAATTGTAGATAAGATGTAGATGTAGGAAATGACAACAAGGAGGAAAGGGCTCAGACCCACAAAGGCACTTGCTGTGTGAAGAGCCATCTCATTGACATATGTGTCACTGCAAGCAATTTTCAAGAGTGGGGGGACATCACAGGAGATGTGATGGATCTCATTGGCTCCACAGAAGACCAAATCGGTGGCCAGGGCAGTGTGAATGGCAGAATCAACCATGCCCAAGATCCATGAAGCTGTAGCCAGAGGGACTCGCACCTCCTTACTCATCAATTGAGAATAGTGCAAAGGTTCGCAGAGGACTGCATAGCTTGTCATGCATTTCTTATGCATAAGTAGCATGAAATAAGCTTGTAGTAATTTTGAACTCTACTCCAGCTCCTGGTTTCTTGCTCTTGACAGGTGGAAGTGGGCTAATTGTCACCTGGAAGTTTCCTACGGCTGTCAGGGACACTACTGCACAAGTTACCTGATGTGAGATCCTGTTCATTAAATTGGATTCTAGAGATGAGTTGGGACTTTTGGTGTTGTACCAGTCTTTCTGCTGCATAGCAACCTCCCTGCCTGAGTCTCTTGATGCCATTTCTGGATTAGAAGTGAAATATCCCTGATTTATGGTCTTAGAGAATGTCCATCTGTCCTCTCTGGGGTAGATGTGGCTCAGGACGTCATGGCTACTATGACAATCATTGACCTATCTTAGGTCATCCAGGCCTTGGGATGGTGGTCACATACCCGATTTGGCTTTCCTCTCAGAGCAGTGGAGTAATGGAAGGAAGGAGGGGAAGATATGCTGCCTAGGAAACCATCAGAGAAGAGAGACAGGAGTTCCCAGCTGCTTAAAAGAGGAAGGAATGTAGGAAGGACTTCCATTAATGGATCAGATGTTTAAAAGGAGTGATAGTAAGTTTCTATGTTGAGACTTGCAAGATTTTGTTATTTTAGCCTTATAGTACAGGTTTCTCCAACCTTGACCACTTTAAAACTTGTGGAGTTCAACTCCCAGAATTCCCTAGCCAGCTGGCTGGGGAATTCTGGGAATTGAAGTCCACAAGTCTTAAGGTGGCCAAGGTTGGAGACCCCTGTTATAGTAAATTAACTCATCTAGTTGTGTCTCCTGTCTGGTTTACCTGGAAGGGCAATGCGATCAGGAACTGGGAGAACTTTGACTGTCCCCCTTGTCATGGTCAGATCACATCCTGATTATTGCAAGGTTCACCAGTACCATTATCCACCACAGGGAGACAGGATCTATTAGATTGGTCCCTCCTCAACGACTGATGGACCTGGATAGGTGTCAGAGGGAACTGTTCCTATTGGTCTGCTCTACCCTCCATGTGAGGTCTTGGTTGTTGCTTGGAACAAGAGGGCCACCGAGACACTGGATTGGGGTGTGCCTATGCCACCTCTCTTGTCTTTTGGGTCCCCTCAATGCTCATGGTTTATAGAAGAGTCGAGGAAGATGAAATGAGAAAAGAGACGTCTGGAGCATCACTGGGGCTTTATGACGAACAAATGTAACCAAACATTAGAGCTGTTATTAAGATCTACTACATGACAGTAGGGTGATGGAGTGACAATATTTCTCCAACCTTATTGTACAAACCCCACAGACCAGTTTCAGGTGACCTTGTGTTTGTTTTTTGTTTTTGTTTTTTATTTGATTTATATGCCGCCCTTCTCTGGGGACTCAGGGCGGCTTACAGTGCGTTAAGCAATAGCCTTCATACTTTTATATATTTATACAAAGTCAGCTTATTGCCCCCACAAACTGGGTCCTCAATTTACCTACCTTAGAAAGGATGGAAGGCTGAGTCAACCTTGAGCCTGGCGAGATTCGAACTTGCAGTAATTGCAGACAGCTGGTGTTAATCACAGTGCTTTTAGTCTGCTGAGCTACCAGGCCCTTCCTTGAGCTCATCCCTTGTTCCAAGCTACAACCAAGGTCATCGTTCTCTTGCAGAACTTCAGAACAGAAGATTAGCACTACTGGATTAGTCGAGGATCCAGCTTAGATCAGTATTTGAGTTCTCACAGTGGCTGACCAGCTACCTCTGAGATGCTCACGGTATGATATGGAAATTGAAAGCAGAGAATATTTATAGGTTGAACTGTGAGCTCCTTGGTGCTCTCTGAGCTTGAGGGTTTTCTGGCAGACGTATTGTTACCAAACTTGGTTGCATCATCAGTGTTAGAAGGGAGGGGGCTTTACTTCTAGCATTCCCTTCTAGTACTGATGATGTTACTTAGTTGGGTCATGAAATGTCTTCAAGAAAACAACCAAGCTCAGAGGACACCAAGGACCTCACAGTCCGCCTTCTCCTTCTCTTCCTCCCCTTCCTCCCCCTCCCCCTCCTAGTATTAATGATATACCCAAGTTAGATCATAAAACATCTGCAAAAAACCCCCCACCAATCTCAGAGATCACCAAGGACCCCACACATGTGGAAATTCTCCCCTCTCTCATCATTGTTTTTTTTTTTTAAATTTGATTTATATGCCGCCCTTCTCCGAAGACTCAGGGCGGCTTACAATGCATTAAGCAATAGCCTTCATCCTTTTGTATATTTGTACAAAGTCAGCTTATTGCCCCCACAATCCAGGTCCTCATTTTACCTACCTTAGAAAGGATGGAAGGCTGAGTCAACCTTGAGCCTGGCGAGATTCGAACTTACAGTAATTGCAGACAGCTGGTGTTAATCACAATGCTATCAGTCTGCTGAGCCACTAGGCCCTTTACATTGTTCCTTTTCATCTGGACTTTGAGGCAAAGAGAAATAAAACCCAGACATTTTGAGAATATTTTTTTATTTACTTTATCAATCCAATTTATACAGTCCAAGGAATTCTGGGTATTGAACAACATAAAAATAACAAAAAGGGGCTAGAAGGGCCCTTCCAACTCGGTTAATGTGTATTCTGTAAAATCCGTCCTCTCTTAGATTGGAGTCCTAACCTATTGCTAGGTTTTGAATGAGTTTTCATTCAGGTTCAATGTCCCACCTACTCATAACAACAATCTCCGCTTGTTTTCTCCTGAGAGTGGCTCTGCAGGAATCTTAAGAACGTCCTTCTACTCCAGTTCTTTTACACAAATTTCATTTTTCTTAGGGAGCAGAAATGCACGAAATTCAACAAAACACTCAGCCCTAGATGAGGGCTAGTCTACCTTCTGGCTACCAAGAACCTTCCTCAGGGCTCCCTTCACCTCCTTGTTGCGGAGGCTGTAGATCAAGGGGTTCAGCAGGGGGTTGATGATACAAAACATGGTGGAGATCAAGGTGTCCATCTCTAGAGAGTAGCCAGCACTGGGCTGGTTGTAGTTCACAAAGGCATTTCCAAGGCAGACAATCACAACGGCAAGGTGTGAGGCACAGGTGGAGAAGGCTTTGTGTCTACCGGTGTTAGAACGAATCCGCAGAATGCAGCCTAAAATGTAGAAGTAGGACAGGATGATGAAGAGAACAGGGACAAGGCCCACAAAGATGCTAGTGATGTGATTGGTCAATTCGTTGACCCAGGTATCACTGCAGGCAATTTTTAGTAAAGGGGGAACATCACAAAAGATATGAGGAACGTTGTTGTTTCCACAAAACTCCAACCTGGAGGCCAGAGCAACATGGATGGTTGAGTCCAGGAAGCCCCAGAGCCAGATGGCCACAGACAGCTGGACACATAACTTGCCCCTCATCAGGTGGGCATAGTGCAAAGGTTGGCAGATGGCAGCGTAGCGGTCATAGGCCATGATGGCCAGCAATGCCGGCTCACATCCCGCAAAGCCAATCAGGAAGAAGGCTTGTGCCAGGCACTGGTTGTAGGAGATGGTGTACTGCTGGCATAGGAGGTTCACCAAGATCTTTGGTACCACCACAGAAGAAAGGCAAAGATCCAAGCAGGAGAGCTGGCTGAGGAAGAAGTACATGGGGGTGTGGAGACGGGAATCCAGGAGAACCAGAATTATGATCATGAAGTTGCCCAACAGAGTGACCAAATAGGCAGCCAGAAACACCAGGAAAAAATGGACGTGGTGCCTCTGGAATATGGAGAATGCCAGGAAGATAAATTCTGTCTCCTGTGTTTGGTTGTGGGAATCCATCAGGAAGAAAATGGACAGCTGGGAAGAGAGAAATGGGCATGTGAAGAAATTAGAATTAACTATAGGGTGAAATGAGTTAGTTTGGGAGAGCTGGGGAAGAGGAACTTAACTCGCTTCCTGGATTCTTGGGCTTTGACCTGCTGAGAAGCTCTGCAGAACATCCTTTCCAAGTTCTGCATCAGAACCACATTCCATCAAGAGGACAAGTGACTTATCACGAGGAGATGACACAATATGGAATACAGATGGTCTGTGGAGGAAACAGCAGTCCTTCAATCCTGCCTTCTCCAACGTTTGTGTCCTGAAGGTGACATGATGATTGTCTAAGATGGACCAAAATATTTTTATTTTTATCCTTCAGGAAGTCACCAGCCTACAGATAGACATGATAGTGGGACATCTTTATTTTTCAATGGGTCCTACTCCGTTCCCTGGCAGCACCAACCATTCGTGGAGAAGGTTGTGAAGAAGCTCCAAGTTCAGGATGTGTGCATCTAGATTTGGTTGTCATGATCTATCTATCTATCTATCTATCTATCTATCTAGATGTTGAGACTCTAGAAAGAGTACAGAAAAGAGCAACAAAGATGATTAGGGGCCTGATGTATAATGAACAGTTGTGGCAACTTGGTGAGAAGGACTAGAGTGACATGATAGCAGTATTCCAATATTTGAGTGGCTCCTACAGAGACAAAAGGGGGGGGGGGAATCTATCTAGTCTCCAAAGCATTTGAAGGCAGGCCAAGAAGCAACAGATGGAAACTAATCAAGGAGAGAAGCAACCTAGAACTAAGGAGAAATTTTCTGACAGTGAGAACAATTAACCAATGGAACATCTTGCCTCCAGAAGTTGTGAATGCTCCATCACTGGAGGCTTTTAAGAAGAGACAGGACAGCCTTTTGTCCACAATCATATAGGGTCTCCTATTTGAGCAGAGGGTTGGACTAGAAGACCTCCAAGGTCCCTTCCAACTCTGTTATTCTGTATTCTGTAGACACTCCAATGAATTTTCTTCATCAGATTTCTTTCTTACAGTAGGAACTGTTGTAATATGAGTGTGCTAGGAATCTGACTTGTTCCCAAGAAATTAGACCTTCTTGGCCAGGGGTCTGCAACCTTGGCAACTTTAAGACTTGTGGACTTCAACTCCCAGAGTCCAAAAGTCTTAAAGTGGCCAAGGTTGGAGACCCTTGTTCTTGGCTACTTGGTATCTGCTCTCCTTTCTCACTCTATTTATATTTATTGTAGTCAAAGCATTTATACTATTTCAATGCTAAAAGGTGCTGGAGAGCAATTATCATTTCTCTCTTTTATTATAAGTGTGCATAAACACTAGAAATTTCTTCTACACATGGAGTGTTAGGTACAAAAAGAGTAAGAAAACACATCTGGAGAAGTTTCTGGAACCCAGGTTTGATCTAGGACATAAGATCAAGATAATGAAGAGTTGTAATAGTAACATTTATAAGATTTGAGCATCTTTAGTCTAAAGAAGAGAAGGCTAGACAGAAACATGATAGCAGTCTTTCAATTCATGAAGGGCTGACTCAGGGCAGAGGGTGGGGAGGTCTTCTCCAGAGGAAGAGGGGGTCCACCTATTCTCCAAAGCACCAGAAGGCAAGACAAGTAGCAATGGATGGAAACTAATCAAGGAGAGAAGCAACCTGGAACTAAGGATAAATTTCCTGACAGTTAAAACAATTAACCAGTGGAACAGCTTGCCTCTGGAAGTTGTGAATGTTTCAACACTGGAGGTTTTTAAGAAGATGTTGGGCAGTCACTTGTCTGGAATGGTATAAGGTCTCCTGCTTGAGCAGGGAATTGGATCAGAAGATGTCCCTTCCAACTGTGTTATTCTGTTAAGTATGAGAACATCTGAAGATAAGAGAAAAACCAACAGGTAGAAGCTTAAAAGAGAGAGAGAGACCCAAACTCAAAATAAAGAGGAATTTCCTGACTATGAGAGCTATGAAGCAGTGGAACAGCTGTCTCTTGGAGTTGTGGAGACTATATTTATAGGTTTTCCAGAAAAAGTTGGAGTCCTTTGTCTGGGATGGTCTGAAGATTTCTGATCTGGACAGGGGGTTGGATTAGAAGACCTCCAAAGTCTCTTCCAACCTTCGATTCTATGATTTTTGAAGGTAGATTTTCTTTTTGGTCAAAGCCTTCATTTGAAGCAAGTCATCGCCCTAGGAAGACACATAAAACTGGGCTCTCAGTGGTTACAGCTGCCTCTCTCAGCAAGTGAAAATATTTGCCATTTCTGAGCCCTCCCCAACAGAAATTCTGAGGAGGAATTGGGTTCCTCTCGCTCCCCATGTCAATCTCTCCTTGGCACATCTCCCCAAAAGAGGATGCTGGATGGACCACAAAGCAGCTCACCTTTGCTGGTTATCCCAGCTGGAGAAGACCAGCTGAGACTGAAGCAGAGTCATGTTCTCCCCATCTTCTCCCACAGTTGGATGCAATGAGACGAAAGCTGGCTCAGCCAAAAGTCTGCCAATGGAGAAGGGAGGGAGATCTTTAGAAGCTTGTTCTTACAAGAGAAGCAAGTTGCTCGGTTGTCTGCATGAGCCATGGTAGATGATGGGCTTGAGGGACAAGGTCCCTTGGTGTGTGGGCCCTAGGAATATTCCTGTCCTGGATCCTGCAGGGAATAGAACTAGGAGGAGGTCCTCTGGGGCCAAACTCTTTCATCCTAGGACTTGCTTGGAGACAAGTGAAGCCAGACAGGGAAGTTTAATTGTGTAGAGGGAGGGGTGAAAAGGAAGGAAGCAAAGCACAGTAATTTGTCAGATTTGAAGCATAACCAATGAAGAGCAGATATTTGAGTTAAGTTACCTCCTTTTGTTATTAATTGGTGTCCTAAATTTCTTTTTCTGTCTGTAGCCTGGAATTGCCAGGTTGCCTCCATTTACTTTAGGTACTACAAGGTCTGATTGCTTTTCTTTCTTTCTTTCTTTCTTTCTTTCTTTCTTTCTTTCTTTCTTTCTTTCTTTCTTTCTTTCTTTCTTCCTTCCTTCCTTCCTTCCTTCCTTCCTTCCTTCCTTCCTTCCTTCCTTCCTCCCTCCCTCCCTCCCTCTCTCTCTCCCTTTCTTTCTTTCTTTCTTTCTTTCTTTCTTTCTTTCTTTCTTTCTTTCTTTCTTTCTTTCTTTCTTTCTAAAAATCAGCTAACAATTTGGAACTCAGAACTCAAATAAAGAACTGTGGTTCTCTCTGAGCTTGGTTGTATTTCTTGCAGACATTCATGACCCAACTACATCACCAGTGCTAGAAGAGAATGGGGTTTGTGGAGAGGAGGAGGAGGAAGAGGAAGAGGAGGAAGAAGAGGTGAAGGAGGATGGTGGGATCCTTGCTGTTTTCTGAGCTTGATTATTTTCCCCAGACATTTCATGACCCAACTAGATAACATCATCAGTGCTAAGAAGAAGTGGGGTTTGCAGAATGGAAGAGGAGGAGGAGAAGGGGAGGAGGGCCTGAGTGCTGAGTGCATTTAAGGTGCTGGTTTTGACCGAGAGAGCCTTTCATGGCATGGTATTAGGCTATCTGAGGGACCATTTCTCCCAGTGGTTCCATTACTCCCTCTGGTGCACCATCACCCTAAGTTGCCTTTGGTGAGATATCCAGCTACATATGTTTGATTAGTGAATATATAATAAAACATAAAATTCAAGACAACAGGAGTTCAAATTCCCATCTATGTCAACCCTTCAAGGTAGATCAGGCTAGAAAGCTAATGCCATGTAGGTCAGGACTACTGTTATTGTGACAGATCTAGGAACAGAATCTGGTAGGTCTGAAGATATTTCTTTCTCTCTCACTTTATCTTTTGGTGAACTAGGGAGGGGCTTATTTGAGATATTTTTCTCCTCTTCCTTAGTCTTGGCTGAAGCCCTGCTTATCTGATTGTTGCCTTGGTAGAGGCTCTTCCTTCAGTCTTTCTTTCGTTCCCTATGCCCTTATATCCATCCTGGCCAACAGATGTCTGCAGCCAACACATCTGAAGGGCAGGTGAATGGGATTCTTGAATATTTGATGTCCCACCCTGAGCAGAGGGGGTCTAGGACAACTCACCACAGCCAACTTACCATGGCCAACTCACGTTGGCCAACTTGCTATGGCAAATTTGTCATGGTCATCTCTCCACAGTGAACTCACCATGGGCCAAAAGTTACATAATAGTGAAGAAATGGTGGAATATAGAATCATTAAATAAAGGATGCAAAAGGAGGGACAAAATGAAGTGAACAAAAATTAAAACAATTGTTTATTTATAATATTATTGACTTATCCCATGGCGAGTTATCCCACACTTAGTTGGTTGCAGTGAGCTGTTCTATGGCAAGTTGGCCATGACAAACTGGCCACAGCAAGTTGGCCATGATGAATTGGCTGTGGTGAGTTGTCCCATCCTGCCTGAGCAGGTCCCCTACCAATGTTCTGCTTTTCTTTGTCCTTCAGCCCCAAAGGGTTGGGTGAAGGTTGACGTTTCCATTACTTGTTAAGGATGGAGTTGGGTTCTTCTCAGGTTCTGCAGACTTTCAGAGGTGTGCAATTGGGTAAGAGGCTCCTTCCTTCATGTTCTTTTTGCTTGATCAATATTGCAATGAAGCCAGTGAAAAGTGAAAAACATCAGAACTGTGTCAACCCTGAAGCTGACCCAGGGGTGAAATGGTACCAGTTTACTCCAGTTCGAGCGAACCGGTAGTGATAAAAACTAATGGTCTGGGCGAACCGGTAGTAAAAAAAAGCTACCGGTTTGGGCGAACTAGTAGTTAGCTACCGGTTCAATCAAACTGGTAGTTAAAAAAAGCTATGATCCAATGATCAGCTGTGCCACATGGTTTAGCTTTGCTAGAAAGCAGGAAGCAAAGCTAAACCGTGCGGCACAGCTGATTATTGGATCGTAGCTTTTTTAAACTGCTGGTTCGACCAAACTGGTAGCTTTATAAATGCAGCGTGCATTTGGTGCACACTATGCATATGCGTGTGCAGCACA